CTCTTTCCTCCAACCAGATGTTTCATGTTTATTGATTCTGTGAGGGCTCCAGAGACCGCAGGGTCACCGTGAGGGGTGTCTCCCTGGGGAGACCTGGCCTGCTGAGCTTCTCTTAGTTCCCTGAAATGGAAGAGAGAAAAGAACAGGTTACTTGATCCCCAGTTAGAGATAATATTTGTAATCAAAACTCGTATGTAAATAGGTAGCTCTTTTTATTTCAGTTTACTGAAATAAGCCTGATCTATACAGAGAGTAAAAATTCAGTTCCTGTGATTATCATTAAAAAGTCACATCATAGCACATTGTAGGTTCAGTCTTCCAAATCCTACCAATTGGGGCATAAGGAGTTTGTTGTTGTTGTTGTTTTAGGTTTTTGTCATAGGGCCTGTGTGGTAGCTAGAGAAAGACAGAGAAAGAGACCGTGAGAAATCTCTCCCCAGGGAGATGGCCACACCGCAATCCCTTCATTCTCCCCTGAGGATTTTGGGCACATATGTACACATGCCTGGTATGATTTTCAAGCCTCTGGGTCCAGGGCTCAAACTGTGGTCAGCCATATGGGAGTCCAGTACCTTAACCATCATGCTACCTGCTGGCTTCCAGGTCTTTACAATTTTTAAAGTTAAGTGAACAGTTTTTCAGGCTATATATGAAAGCTACAGGGGTCAACAAACCACAGTCCTGAGTCAAATCTGGCCTGTCACTCTTTAGTAAATAAAGTCTTACTATTGGGTCATCAGAGAAGTCATGAAGCACTTTTCTATGTTTTCCTGTGCAAAACCACATCATGACTTTGCCAGTGACCCAACAGAACACAAGCATTCATTTGTGTATTGTCTGTAGCCATCTTCACACTACAGCAGCGGCGGGGTGTTGTTACAACAGAGATGATATGGCCCTCGGAGCATGAACTATCTGAAATACGATCTAGCCCTTGCAGAACAAGTTTGCGGGCCTCTGATCTAGACAATTTCAAGATACTATCTGCCTCATCTCTGTGATGGGGCTCCATCACTAGTTTTGGCCAATGACAGTCACTTGGGCATCTGTTGCTGACGTCACAGAATGTGTATTCCCTCTACTTGGTAGGTACTTACATTCTCATGAATGATATATGTAAGTACTTCCTGCTTTGTTTATTATCTGGGACAGTGGAATTCAAAACTATAGCAAAAACAGAACAAAAACAATAAGTGGTTTAGGAAGAATTACCTGACTTGAGGCTAAAAGATGCTGCCACTTAGCACCAAAACTCAGCTTGGGTACTTTTCAGGCTACTGTTTCCAAGATGATTGTGTATCCAAGAAAGATTGGATTTCCAAGTTTCTTTTAGCCAAGAAACAGTTATTATTTCCTTCTTTTTTATTTACTACAGTGTACAACACATATAGTAACTACCGAAAAATGCCCATGCTGCTCAAATGTCACCGACCAATCCCACCTCATCTACTTAATTCCCATTTG